GGAAGTGCCATCATACAGTACAGCTAGAGACAGTCTTTAAGAACTTAGGGGGTTTTTTTTTGAGGAAATTATATACGCACAGTCGCAATTTGCCTGCCTACAATTTAATTTAGTGTTATTTACCACATATATTGTCAATATAGTCCCAGTATATACTCATTTCTTGAATATACTTTTAACAGTGCAAATGATAAATTTATGGAAGATAACAACAATATCAGCACTAATCTTATACCAGTTCTCGACAAAGCAAGTGACGATTCTGAGGTAATGATTGGTTTTATTTGCTGTTTTCTGGAAACTATATAGGCTGCAAATTGCTGAAAGTAAGTGCAGGTGATAGTTCACACTAAATCAAATGTGCTGATGGGAAATAGTCAATAATAAATTTACTGGTGAGGACATGCAACCTTGGTAAAGTACCAGTGGTGCATCACGATTCCCAAAATTAGGCATGAAAGATTGCCTTTGTGGAAGTGCAGCATCACATGTAACAAAGGAAGAACTCCCTTTGAAATGATTAGAATGACACATATCTAAATAGTCATTTATTAACAATAATATGGGGCCAAACTGTAGTAGATTTTCCCTTGAGGCAAGTAAGTACGGACCATTTACTTTTATTTCAGTGATAGTTTAGTCTTGTCAAACCATGAAACATTATCCCACAATGTTAAATCAACTAGGCTGTTAATACTTGGTACAGAGGGGGCGGGGGGGGTACAGGAAGGTGATTGCTAAGTATTCTATCAAATAATCCTAATCTAACCTGAGAATTTGCAAACAATCAGATAGTGTATTCAGTGCAGATGTCCTATCACAGTGACCCTTAAGGCATGCACCCTCAACTGAACACTTCACAAGCTCATGAAGAAACGTTAACACTGCAAGCCAGCCAGAAGAGTCAATCTCCGTATTTGTCTTGCACATGACCTCACGAATCTGCACAGGTGCATTTTCAGTATATTAATACATAAAGAAAACAAATCGTTACAATCAAAGTAGTACAACACAACAGTCTCAACTTCTTTGTCAAATTGACTACACTTGATAGTAAATACTGTACTAGAATTCTAGGGTGTACACAATTTGTGTCCTGCAAAATGTAAAACTATAGCTCCAACAGCACGCGACAACCACAGCTACAGCTAAAAAGCACTGCACGCTAAAGCAAAATTCCAGTTTATAATAATCAGCATTTGAAAATCCATGTCCACAATTTGTCGGAACTTCGCGTACTCCAACACGACCCCAGCAGAACGCAGGTCACTGATCAGAATGGTCGTCTATCTGGCTAACATTACAGCCCCGAATCTAAAGCAACCATTGGGCGAATTCCACCGCACACTACGAGATCTCAATCGCATGGAAGCACAGAAGCATTACCAGGTGGCAGACGCCACGCAGCGCGTCGGCGGCGCCAGCACAGGGGGCCACCGCCGCGGCCTTCTCCGCGAGGAACGCCACATCCGAGCCCACCTGCAAACGAGCACACGGACAGTGAGACCAAGAACCAAACCGAACTGGACGTAAGCAAGCGGGGCCAAGGGTAGGACCTCGTGAGGGGAGAGCGCGGCGGCGGAGGCCGCGAGGGATGGCGAGGAGGGGGGCAGAAGGAGGCGGCGGAGGAGCGCGAGGAGAGCCGGAGGGGAGGGCGAGGCGACTGACTCATCGCGGAGGGTGAGAAGCGCGGTACGCCACGGCCGTGCCCCGCCTCCCCCGGAGGTGGAGGTGGAGGTGGAGGTGGCCATGGGCCGCCGGCGGCGACTACCGGTGGTTGCTGGCTACGGCGGTCGGCGGGGATGGAACTCGGGAGCGTGAGACGGAGAGGTTTGGGCTTCCCGGAGTGGGGTTTTGGACCTTTGCTTAGACGTCGGGAATGCTTCAACCCGGTAAGAAAAGTCGTTGTATAGGGCCCAAATGCCCGAGTTTGAAGTTTGTGTGCTCGGCACCATGGTGGCCTTTTAAAAAAACATATTTAAAAGTTTCAAAAAAATCGAAAATAATTCTGTGTAAACTTGTATGTATTCACTAAGGATCCATGGAATTATTTTTTGAAAAGAATAATAATTTGTAAGCTGTAAAAAAATTCCGGCCCAAAAACAAAAATTCCAGCCCATTTCAAAATACATATTTGTCTTTGTTTGTAGACCACATGGGAAAGCAAAATGTTATGAAATTTTTGCACATATGTCGCATGTGTGTGTGTGTGCGTTTACAAAAGTTTTAAAAAAAATGAGCTCTAAAAAACGTTTTTTTAAACGGTCACCATGGTGCCCGCGCACATCTGGCAATATTCTCCAAATGTCCCTCCTTTTTTCTTTAAATGCCCCTCCTTTTTCATTCATAACTGGATCCGACGTGATGCCCAACGCCTGAGGGCGCCCCTATTTCTCGCGTTCAGGGAGGGGATGAACCCTTGCTGAAGGTGTGACTGAGATGGACCTTCTTTTTTTCTGTTTTTTACTTTTTTGTTTTCGTTGTCTGCTTCGTTTTTGTATTTTTGTTTATACTTTAAAAATATTATAAATATATATATTACAGAAAAAATTCTACAAAAAACATTTGAAAAATGTTGAGAAATTATTCAGAAAATATTTAACAAGTATTTGAAAAATATTAATCAAGCATTCGGAAAAAATGTTGGATGTGTATAGAAAAATTGTTGATCATGTATTAAAAAGATGATGAATTTTTTATCATGTACATAAAACTGTTAATCAAGCATTTGAAAAGAAAATATTGAACAAGTATTTGAAAATGTTAATCAAGCATTTGGGAAATGTTAAATGTGTATAGAAAAATGTTAACCATGTATTAAAAAATGTTAATATTGCATTTAAAAATCTTAATTAAACATTTAAAAAGTATTACATTTGCATGGAAAAATGTTTAACATGTGTTTAAAATGTTAATCTTGTATTTCAAAAGTGTTGAAGATGTGCATAGAGAAAATGTTGACCATGTATTAAAAAGATGCTAATCTTGTATTTGAAATATGTCAAACAGACATTTAAAAATGTTAATAAAGCATTTGAAAATTGTTGAAAATGTGTATAGAAAAATATTGATCATGTATTTAGAAAATGTTAAACTTGTATTTGAAAAATGTTAAACATGTTTTTTAACATAGTATAGACGCAAACGCTGATACATACACGCATACACTCACCCCTATGAACGCACGCATGCACACCCTACCCCCTAAGAGCACCTTCGAGAGACTGAGCCAGCATATCGTCTTGAGATTTACGAAGTTACCGTAGGCACCTCATCGTCGACGGGAACGTCTCCTCCCACTGAAAGTGCATCACCGGAAATCCTGAAATAAGTCCAGGAATAATGCAAGCACCAGGACTTGAACCCCGGTGGACTGGGGATACCACTGCCCCTTTAACCATTCAACCACAGGTTGATTCGCTGTTGAAAGCACAAGTGCTCCCTGGGTGATTTTGGTAATTAATGTCAATATATCTCTTGTTGGACTAATACCTTTACCTAGTGTATTTCAGATGAGTTCACAATGGTGTGGCAAGGACAAGAGGATGTGGAACCCTTTCAAAATGCTAAGGACAAAGATTGGCAAAAGCTCAAGACTATTTATTTTCATTTTAGTGATCCAAGATCACATTAAGTCTATAGGAAAGCCAATACTATTAAAAGGGGATGAGGTGTTGCTTAATGGTCTACTTGCTGAAAGTGCTTAGTGATATTGATCCAAAACCCTCAACCACTTTCCCACTCCAAATATGTCCAAGACACAAAGTCAAACTCGGCCTCACCGATTTGATCTATACGACGCCACCGAGTTCAGTTGACATGGCCACTGCCAGAAACCCTAGACAATTTGCTCACACCGATACGGATCTCGGTTTCACCGAGATGGCCTTGCAAACTCTCTGTTTCCCTTTGTAACATTTTGGTCTCACCGAGATGAGCGATCAGTCCCACCGAGTTTGCTTGACCAACTCTCTGTTTGATCTTTGCTGAAATCGGTCTCACCGAGATAAGGTTTTTCCCTAGCCCTAGCACATCGGTCACACAGAGTTGATCATGTCGGTCCCACCGAGATTCCTAATGTTCACATTTTGAACTAAATCAGTCTCACCGAGTTCTTCTATTCGGTCTGACTAAGTTGGGTCAAATGTGTGTAACGGTTGGATTTTGTGTGGAAGCTGTATATACCCCTCCACCCCCCCCCCCATTCTCCATTCAAGAGAGAGCCATCAGAACGTGCCTACACTTTCACTGCTCATTTTCTGAGAGAGAACCACCTACTCATGTGTTGAGACCAAGATATTCCAACCCTACCACTAGAATCTTGATCTCTAGCATTCCCCAAGTTGCTTTCCACTCAAATCTTCTTTCCACCATATTCAAATCTGTGAGAGAAAGTTGAGTGTTGGGGAGACTACGATTTGAAGTACAAGAGCAAGGATTTCATCATCAACACATCGTCTATTAGCTTTTGGAGAGTGGTGTCACTACAAAAAGAAAGACACAGCCGTAACATTTTGGGCCGAACCAATTTTTTTCTGTCATGCTTATGACACTTCTATGATGATAATTATGACAAAACCCAGTATCATCATAGATGTGGTGGGCTCCTACTTCTATGACAAAAAATCATGACAGAAATAGGATTTTCGTCCTGGGCGGGCCGGAGACGCAGCTGCATGACATTCTTCGGGCCGTCCATGACAGAAAAAACCGTGGTAAAGCGAGGGCGAGGAAAATATCGGGGAGTTCTCAGTTACGGTGGGTGCTCGGAGTATGTGCGAGGCGTTGGCTAACTAAACCCGAGCGATCGCATGTTACTGAACTGAGCAATCGATCCCTTGGCTATTAACTGAACCCGAGCGATTCATTCGCTGCTGACTGAACCCGAGCGATTCCTTCGCTATTATTGCTAACTGAGCCGAGCGATTGATCACTACTGCTGCTTACTAAAGCCGATTGATCCCTGATGCGAGATGTAGCCATCCGGTGTTGGGTTGCCTCTCAATAAACAGTGGTTGTTGCTACCGTGCGTGCGGAACGTAGAACGAGTCGATACGTTGTGAGTCGAGACGGTTGGTTGGCTATGGATGAACAGTTCTCGGTAGGGGTGGATGAACATGACCCCATGGTAGTAGGCGGTTGCGGCTGGATGAACAGGACCCCGAGGAGGCCGCCGCACCCCAGCCGGTTGGGGTGGATGAACAGGACCCCGTGGAGGCTATATGAACAGTAGCTAGTGGAGGCTGGATGAACAGTAGCTGATGGAGGCTGGAGGAGCTCGACAGTGGATGAACAGTAGCCCGTGGAGGTTGGAGTGAGGCAGTAGATGGTGGATAAATAGGACCCCGTTTCACCGTAGGCGCTCCAACACAAGTCCATTTCCTCCGTTTTGCGGTACGCCACACCCCTCCTGATCAACAGGACCCTGTTTCGATCGTAGGCACTCGAAGTCTTGAACAGAAGTCCGTTTCCTCCGTTTTGCGGTATGCCAGACCCTCCCCGATGAACAGAACCCCGTATCAACTGTATGCGGTTGAACAGAGGCCCCGTTTCCTCTGTTCTGCGGTATGCCAGACCTCGTTCCGGTTGTTCCGTCCAAGCCGGTTAGCTCCTGATGAACACGATGTATTCCGACCCAGTCGGTTGCCTCCCGATGAACACGACGCTGTTTCCTCCATTCCGACCCAGTCGGTTGGCTGCCGATGAACAGGACAATGTCGCTATACGCTTTTGAGACCATGTCCGTATGTACGTACGTAGTCGTATTTACTTTCTTGCAAGGTTGTTGTATGTATGTGTACACGTTATAGACGGGACTGCGTGACATGCTACGTCCGCGGCTCTATTACGACACGTGTTGGTCCTTACTCGGCCAAAGTTCATCACTATAGAGAGATCAGTCGACCAGTATGTACATACACGTTTGCGACCAGACAGACAACGCTACATACACTTCGACCGGGTAGGTCCCAGCTGTCCCTTGCGTGCGAAGATATAGCTGGTGGGTCCCAGCTGTCAGGGGGAAGAATCTTTTTTTCGTAGTATGGACGCACTTCCTTGCGTGCCAAGATGTAGCTGGTGGGTCCCAGCTGTCAGGGGAGAAATGTTTTTTCGCAAAATACAGAGTCCCTTCCGGTGGGTCCCTGTTGTTAGGTGGAGGAATAATTATTTTACGCGTAATAGGAGGCACTTCCTTGCTACAGCCGTGGACCCAGCTGTCAGCCTCTCCATGTACAATCCTCTTCCGATGGAAGTCGTTCCTTGACCACGTTGACCACGCTGCGCCGAGAGCACCAAAGCGATGGACGACGGCGAGGCCTAGGAAGGGGATGACGTGAAACCAGGGAAGACACGGTAGTGGATGCCCACGCGGAGAGGAGTACGGGGGTTGACTGGTTCGGCTGCGGTGTGAGGCTGACGTCACCGCAGAATAATAGGGGTTGTGGGTGACTAGAGGGATGGCATGGCCAGTGGTTGGAGTAGGAGGGGCGGTGAGGCCTACGCGGCAGCACAGCCGGCCATGGGAGGCAGGAGCAGGCGCCACGACCCGCAATGGTTTCGGTGGCTGGAGCAAGAAGACCAGAGGTTGAAGAAGCACGACAGTCGTTGGATGGACACCGTACGGTCACTCCAGCTAGAATCATTTATATTGACTAAGTTGACAAAGCCTTGCGTCCACGTCAACTTAGTAGGCCCACAAGTCAGCCTCTAAATATGGTAGGTCCCACCTAGCAGCGGGGGTGTTCATTTT